TAGCACAGGGAAATATACACAAAATGTTATGATAACTCACAGAGAAAAAAATGTGACAATGAGTGTGTGTATGTCCATGAATGACTGAAAAATTGTGCTGAACACTGGAATTTGACACAACATTGTAAAGTGATTATAAATCAATAAAAAATGTTAAAAAATGGACAGAAAACTTAAACATTTCTCCAGTGAAGACATGCAAATGGTCAATAGGCACATGAAAAAATGCTCAGTATCGCTAACTTTAGAGTATCATCTCACACCAGTCAGAATGGCCATCATTCAAAAGTCCACAAACAATAAATGCTGGAGAGGGTGTGGAGAGAAGGGAGCCCTCCTACGCTGGGAGGAGGGAGTGTAGTTCGGTGCAGCCGTTGCTCTCTTTGGATTAGCCATATTGGCCCTCTTCTTTAATTTATCCTTCAAGGAAATGTAATTACTTGGCCTGTATAGTATCTCATGCATTTGAAGTTGCTGCTTATGTTGCATGCTTTGAAAATACTTTCGGTGAAAAATTTGTAAGCCACTGAAGTCAGTCCCTTTAAATGCAGTGAAACAGACCTTTGACGTGGAAGAATACAGTCTCTCTCAGGCTACCTTGGAACAGGTGAGTTTTCTTCAAACCCGTTAGCGTCGTCTGGGTAGCCTTTGTGTGAGCTCTGTGTGCATCTGTCTTTCAGAAGTACCCTGACATTTTCATTTCCTTATTTATTTCCTCCTACTTAGGTGTTCTTAGAACTCTCCAAAGAGCAGGAGCTGGGAAATTTTGATGATGAAGTTGATACAACAGTTAGATGGAAACTCCTCCCGAAGGAAGAGCCTTAAAGCCCTGAACCTCCTAACACTAGATTTTAGGTCTTACTACATTATTAGTTTCCATAATTCTAGAAGACTCTTTCATATTACTGCAGTTAATGAAACAAAACATTCAGTAGTTTAAGCATTCAATAATGATTTAAGGTTTTAAATGTTTTTTAAAATTTTAGAATGGAGGGAAGAGGCAAGGATAGGGAAAGGTAGCAGACAAAATTAACGTAACCAGACATACAGGAATCATTAATATAGGCCTATTTTGTGCTTAATATTAATTCAGAAATCACAGAATGTTAGACTAGTATTTTGTTGCTATCAATAAGGCTGACCTCTGAGCTCATTTTACAAATAAAACATTGTATGCTTTTTAAAACCTAAACTTTAAATATATCAGCTTTTTAAATCATTTTTACATAAATCATTTTTAAATCATTACTAAGTACCAACAATGTGACATGAACTGTCAGAAGATCTAGTAAGTTGATAGATGAAATTATGTGGTATAACATTTAGATATAATTATATATTCTGATTATAAAATAAACATATGCTCATTTTACGGTATAAAAATTATGTGGATGAAGGTAACAGTAATCACCACAGTAAAACACCACAGTAAATATTTGGGCCTACCTGTATGTAACGTGCTTTTAAAGAGTACTTTTCCGAAGTTAATACCCCAGTGAGCATAGGAATTTTTTATATTTTTTCACTTAACATTTCATGAACATTTCTCATGTCATTATAAACCTTTTGTGTTCTGTAATGGCTCCGTCACATTCCTTTGATGTGCTATCATGGGTTTTATTTAACCTTTTACTGTTATCTGACATTTTGGTTACATGCACATATATCTCTTATAAATAAAGCTGCAGTGGACTTCTCTTAAGTCTTCTTTGTTATAGTCTTAGGGCAAGTAGCTCACATATCAACTATTGGCCGTTTGCTGTATGAGATTTTGGTAACTTTGTTGTCTGATCCATAGAAAAATTCAGTGTCCATCATAAGCTTCTGAAACTCCCCCGAGAACTTTTAATCTCAGACTCATTCCTGACCCGGACTTCGCTTATTTGCTGAACTTATTATCTGCTCTGCGGTCAGTTCCTTTATCTCTGCCTTGGCATTGATTTAAGGTAAAGCTTGGCTCCTTACCTTGATTCTTACAAACAACTATTTCCACAGGTAATTTGTAAAAGAAGCAAGTCCTCCTAACTTGTAGGAATGCTTAAAATGTGAATAAAAATTGGACATATATTTCAAGCTGAATATTGTTTCATATACATTACACATTTTCTCACGAATAGAGTATGCCCTTGAAGATACAAAGAACTAAGACATCCTTAGTAGCCCTTGAAATACTGGACAAAGTTATATATAAGAACGTCAATGAACAGAAACAAAAATAAAACATCTAGCATTTGCAATTAACTCCACATTAATACAAATCAATTGATGTAGGTGGGGGCAGAGGTGGCATGGGAGAATATTAGGGGGCGAGTTTGCTTCATATTTGTGATGGATTATCACAATTGGTCAAAAAGAAGAGCTCAGCAGAAAGTAATACCTTCTACTTTCTGCAGATGTTCTCATTCCTGTCAAACAGAGATTGGCCGTGACCAAAAAATATGCAGCAAGGTTCTGTGATTTTTTTCTGATGCAGCTGTTGGCCAGTGGACACTCAGCTATCAGATAAAAGCCCCTTCCTCTAAGAGATTTCTCTAGCTGCTTTGAGTAGGGCATCCTAGACTTTAACTTTGTAAACTTCCTATTGCTATAAATTAAAGTCATTCAACTCTGCCCAGTTTCATTCCTTCTACCCTTAAAACTGCTGCTTTTCAGCTTTTGCCCATAGCCACAAAGAAGTCATAGTATGTCTACCAAGAAAACACAATTTTAGAATAGGTAGAACATTTCCAGTGCTTTCAGCCGTTATGTCGTAACTAATTTCAAAATCTCCACATTCTTGGTGATTTCATATTTCACAAATCTCAATTCCTGGTAGTAATTTCTCTGTTCCTGGAGTTTCTCTGGTTGCAAGAAACAGATTCACACATGCTAACTCAGGTAAGGAGGGTTTGTTGTGATCCAAAGCATATCCAAGGGTAAAAACAGGATTGGAAGAGCCAGCTTGAAAGTCCTTGTGGATTCAAGGCCGCCTCAGGAATGTCCGTGGGCCAGAGGTGGTGAAACGTCACTGGAGTGTTCTCAGCCCACGCCAGAGACGCGGCTCCTCGCTGTGCTCGTTGCCATGTGCGGTCTGTCTTCTTCCCCCAGGTACGTGGCTCCAGCACCCAGTGCTCAGTCGGCCTTTTCTCAACCTCCCCCTTCTGCTTGCTCAGAGTTTTTGTTTACATCAACATTAACTTACCGAATGGCCTCCATTATCCCTTCGGCCTTATTGCCTCTCTCTGTGCATACTTTCAGCTTCCTCTGTATTTCCCAGTTCAATTTCCAGAGAGCCAGAGTTTGTGATTTGCTTTGCCTCTATTGGAACTAAGATTTTTTTTTAACAACCAACAACACGTGGGTTAAATGTGCTGTGGTCTTGGGTCCATGATACAAATTATGGTCAGCCTTATATTAAGAACAGCCCTGGCCTCATCCCTCAGGAGAGCAGTTTCCCATGAGGGAGCTATGAAGCTGGTAAGAACCATCCTTATCATATTCAGTAAAACCCATATAGAGTTTAACTCTCACATACAGTTTATTTCCTTTTACACAGACCCTCCTCCCATGGCAAATACCTGAAATTCTGGGTAAAATATGACAAAAACCACTTTAATACCATCAGAGCAATAAGCTTCAGCTTGTATTACCTGTGGCCTAGCGTCATAATGAACCTGGGTCTCAACCCCTACACGTGAGACTGGGATTTTTGTGGCTACGTGAGGATCTGAAAGCGGTTTATAGTCAATGAGAAGTGAAGACTTAGAACAATGATTGTAGTGTAAAGCCAGCTTCTACAAAAAAAAACTACCCACCCTGGGACAGAGGACTTGATGTACAGTGCCCACCATCTGGAGAAGCTGTTCCAGACAAGAGATGGAAAAAAAAAAAAACGCTGAGCTATGCTTATGTGACAGCGCCACAAGAATTTATACTATCCATGTGGTCCAGGAAACCCAACTGACAAAGTCAGTCTGTACCATCAAATAGACAAGAGATAACAAGTGGTGAGGATGTGGAGAAAGGGAACACATGTGCACTGCTGATGGGAATGTAACCTGGTGTAGCCACTAGGGAAACAGTACGGAGATTCCTCAAAAAGTTAAAAACAGAACAATCATACGATCCCCACCAGTGGGTGTATTCCGAAGGGATTGATAACAGGCTATTGGAAAGATACCTGCCCTCCCATGTTCATTGCAGCATTATTCACAGTAGCCAAGGTGTGGAAACCACCTCTAAGTGTCCTTTCGCAGATGAATGGATAAAGAAGATCACAGTTGCGCGCGTGTGCGTGCACATACATGCACACACACGAATATTATTCAACCACAAGAAAGCAGGGAATTCTGCCATTTGTTACAGTATAAATGGAACTTGAGGATATACTAAGCAAAGTAAGTCAGAGAAAGACAACTGTATGAGCTCACTTATTATATAGAATCTAAAAAATTCAAACTCATAGATAACAGAGCAGTGGTTTCCAGGGGCAAGGGGTGTGGTGGGAGAAATGGGGAGATACTGGTCCAAGGGTATAAACTTTCAGTTATAAGATGAATAGTTCTGGGGATCTAATGTTCAGCACAATGATTATAATGTTGTTAACATTATCGTATTATATACCTGAAAGTTGCTAAGAGTAAATTCTAAATGTTCTCAGCACAGAAAAGAAATGGTAATTATGTGATGTGATGGAGGTGTTAGCTAATCATTTTGCAATATAGAAATGTGTCAAATCAACACTTCACATACCTTAAACTTATACAATGTTGTATGTCAAATACATCTCAATAATGCTGGGTGGGGGGGAAGCCTAACAGTGACCTGTGGAACATCTAGGAGGAACAGTAGGTCAAGCAAACAGCATCTATGCAAGCTGTGGCTTGTCCAGAAGTGGCAGGAGAAGCCACTGACATAGAAGCCACCCTGAAAGGAGAGCCAGAGGCAGCAGGAGCTGATGGGTTGGCTGGAGGCAGAGCTCTCAGGTAGTTACTGACTTCCACATGTTTGCAACGTGCAGCGTTTGAAGCAGAGCAGTGCAAAATGCTCATGGGATGAATATAGAAGCGAGTGCCCTGGGACATCTGGCAGGATGGCTCCGGATTACATTTTTAAAATACCAATAGTTACAAATAAAATGAATGGGCATTTATTACCCAGAAATTCTCATTGTCTCATTCCTTTCGATTTTTTTAATTTGCTGTAAAATATATGTATAACATAAAATTGGCTTGAAATAAACTAGACACAAGTATTGTAGGAATAGAAACACTTAATTAAATGTCTAGAATAGGCAAATTCATGGAAGTGGAAAGAATGTCAGAAGTCAAAAGGGGCTACTGGAGGGCTGAATGGGCAGTTATTGCTTAATAGTTACAGATTTCCTGTTTTGGATAATGAAACAGTTTTGGAACTAGATAGTGATGATGGTTGCACAATACTGGGAATGTAATTAATGTCACTGAATTGTACACTTAAAATGATTAATTACAATGGCAATGTTAATCCACTTTTTAAAAATATATAATTTAAAATAATTATGACATTATACAAGACTGCTGTAAAAAGTCACACAGTGTATATCAGTCTAAAATTTGAAAATGTTTTTGCTTAGCTAATACATTTTTCTGTCATATACACACAGGATAATAGCATATCTACTGTTCTGTAATTGTTTTATTTAACAACATAGTATGAACATCACATCTTCCCAGTTGATTATGTATTTGTGTCATTGTTTGTAATGTCTGTTGTGTTATTTCAGTGTTTGGATGTACCAAAAACTTTTAGTTGAAAATTGATTGAAAGATACATAGGTTCTTTCTAAACTTTCCTGTTATAAACAGTGGCGCAACTAAGAATGTTGCATGCAGATCTTTGGCGATCCTCTATTTAATCACTTGGAGTATATTCCGAGAAAGCCTGGCTCAAAGGTTCTGTGTGTGCGTACGCTTTCAACACAATCTAGGAGTTTCATCTGTACAGTGCAACCAGTTCCCTGACTTCACATGAAAGTCGCCTCCTCTAAAGCAGAGATCTCCCAAGAAAGGACGGAATTAGAAGCTGCAGGCAATTATGACGAGTCAAGTGCCCATTTATATAATACCCTAACTCTGTCTACTAAAGTGAAAAAAAAAACCCAAACCAAAAAAGATAGCAGAAATACACATCTAGACTGGAACTCAGAAAGGCCCTAGACTCTTACTATACCCCTCAAATAACTTTGTTGCGCCCCAAACAATTGTTTGCTAAACTAAAGGAAAATGCCAGGAGTCAGCAAATAACCACCTTGCCGATGCACGAACAACGTGGTCAGTGGAAAGTGAAGCAGAACTTGAAAACCCCTATTCTGTTCTCCCTCCTCAGTGGGGAGAGTCCTGACAGCATGATCAAACTAGGGGAAAGCCTGTTGTATCACCGAAGAGATGGGAAGATGAGGAAGAAAATGTTTAGCTAAATGTTCATTCTGCCCAGGACCACTGTGTTGTGCTTTTCCTTCATCAGAGCCAACTTGAGGGTCATATGGAGTAAAAAAAATTTTAGGAAGGACTTTGGTTATTCAGCTAAAGCCATCCCCAGGATGAGGTTACAATTTAAGTGAAGAGCGCCTTCATTTTGAGGAATCTTATGTTTACTCATTGTAAGAGAGAAAGGCAGGGGAAGGCAAAGAGAAGGGTTAGCTTACCAACCCCCCAAAAAAGGGAAGAAAAGAAAAATGAAAAGGAAAAAAAATTTTTTTTTTAAGTAGCATTAGCCTTTGCTCCCAGCCTTTATGAGAGGCATAAAGAACAGACTCCTTAGATCTGGAACAATTATGCTCTCATATTAATGACAAGATTGATAGTATTCTTCTTTAAAAAAGTCTGTTAGTAAGAAACTGTGGCCAAGAACTTACCTTGAAGACTATATGAAATAAAATAGGAAATGAGATTGTTTTAGCAAATGAACTGCTAAATAAATTGGAATTGGAAGTTCAGTATTAAAAATTAACAGTTTACTCAAGGAACACTGACTCTGGAAGACAATTATAAAGATATGGAACATCTCAGGGAAAACAATCCTCCCTTTGCCTCAAGTAAGAGTAACCTAAATGTTCATTAAGGGAAGAGAAACTTGACCCAGATGAAGTAAAACTGAGGAATCTGCACTGTCACAAAGAAGTTCCCCAAAGAACAAAGGAATATTGTACTAAAGAAAAGCCACATGTCACTTCTAACAAGTTCAGCGGTATTCCTGCATATATGAAATCTTGCTTAACCTGTTGTCAAATTAATGATGCTGTTAAAGAGAAACAATCCCCTTTAAAATAGCACCCAAAGTAATAAAATATTTGGGAATAAATCTAACCAAGGAGGTGACACAATTATACGCAGAAAACGATAAACCACTGATGAAGGAAATTAAATAAGACTTTACAAAATGGAAAGATATCCCATGATCTTGGATTGGAAGAATCAATATTGTTAAAATGGTCACACTGCCCAAGGCAATCTACAGATTTAATGCAATCCCTCCCTATCCAATTACCCAGGACATATTTCACAGAACTAGAACAAATCATAATAAAATTTATATGGAACCATCAAAGACCTAGAATTGCTAAAGCATTACTGAAGAGAAAGAAAGAGGCTGGAGGAATAACTCACCCAGACATCAGACAATACTATAGAGCTACAGTCATCAAGACAGCATGATATTTATACCAAAACAGACATATAGACCAATGGAACAGAAT